TGTTGGATTTAAAATACCATGATGGTTCCGCAATGACAGATCATCTGAATAATTTTCAGGGGATCATGAATCAGTTATCTGCTATGGGCATTAAATTTGATGAAGAAATTCAAGGCCTGTTTCTACTTGGTTCCCTACCAGATTCTTGGGAAATTCTTAGAACTTCATTATCAAATTCTACTCCGGATGTTGTGATATCCATGGATCTTACCAAGAGCAGCCTTTTAAATGAAGAGATGAGAAGAAAATTTCAAGGTTCCTCCTCATCAGATGTCTTGGTGACTGATTCTAAGGGGAGAAGCAAGAATCGGGGTTCTCAAAATAGAGAACATAATATAAACAAATCCAGAAGTAGACTTAAAGATATTGAGTGCTATCATTGCGGGAAGAAAGGGCACACAAAGAAGTTCTGCCGGATTTTGAAAAAGGAGAATAGAGACAAGGAAGAACAGAAAGAAAATGGCAATCGTGTGGCCACCGTCACTACAGAAGATCTTGTTATCGTCCTTGATGCGGATATGATAAATATTGCTTGTAATGAGTCAAGCTGGGTTGTGGACAGTGGTGCCGCATCTCATGTGACATCAAGGAAGGAATTTTTCTCATCCTATACTCAGGGTGACTTTGGAACTTTGAGTATAGGTAATGAGACTGTATCTAGGGTGGCTGGTGTTGGAACGATTTGTTTGGAAACTAGTATTGGAACTAAACTAGTTTTAAACAATGTAAAGCATGCACCTGATGTTCGTTTGCACTTGATCTCTGTTGGTGTTTTGGATGATGAGGGATATGTCGGTACCAATGGTGCTGGAAAGCGGAAGCTCACTAAGGGCTCCATGATTGTGGCTCGTGGGGAAAAGTGTCATGGTCTATACTGGACTATGGCCTCTACCTGTGTTTATATAGTGAATGTCGTTGAAAGCCATAACTCTTCAACGTTATGGCATAAGAGGCTTAGCCACATTAGCGAGAAAGGACTAAATGTTCTGGCCAAGAAGAAATTATTGTCAAATTTTGAAAGTGCAAAATTAGAAAAATATGAGCATTGCTTGGCTGGAAAATAAAAAAAAGTTTCTTTCCAATCTCATCCTCCTTCAAAAAAGACAGAGTTGCTTGAGTTGGTGCATTCAAACTTATGTGGTCCAATGAAGACAAGGACTTTGGGTGGTGCACTTTATTTTGCTACCTTTATTGATGATTGCTCAAGGAAACTTTGGGTTTACATCTTGAAGACTAAAGACCAAGTGTTGCGTGTCTTTAAGCAGTTTCAGGCTTCAGTTGAAAGAGAAACTGGAAAGAAACTGATGTGTATTCGTACTAATAATGGTGGTGAATATTGTGGACTGTTTGACGAATACTGCAAGCAACAGGGTATCAGACACCAGAAGACTCCTCCTAAGACTCCTTAGCTTAATGGTGTAGTAGAAAATATGAACATGACCTTGATGGAAAGAGTCAGATGTTTGCTTTCTGAAGCAAAGTTGCCGAATTCCTTTTAGGGTGAGGCTTTGTTGACCGTCGTATATGTTATTAATCTATCCCCTACAGTTGCTTTGCAAAGTTATGTTCCAAACAAAGTTTGGTATGGCAAGGATGTTTCTTCTGACCACTTGAAAGTGTTTGGTTGCAAAGATTTTGTACATGTGCCTAAAGATGAGAGGTCAAAATTAACTACCAAGACAAGGCAGTGCATCTTCATTGGTTATGGCCTTGATGAGTTTGGTTACAGGATATATGATCCAATTGAGAAGAAGGTCGTGATAAGCCGTGATGTTATCTTCGTGGAGGATCAAACCATTGAGATATTAACAAAGCGCAAAAGCTAAAATCTCCAAATTCTGAAGGTTTAGTTAATCTTGATCAAGTTCCTCATACAAATGCGGATGACGTTGGTGGGCTCAATGATGATGGTGATGCCCAGAACCATAATCCAAATCAGCATATTGATGGTGATAACAATGCTAATGTTGATGAGGTAGGTGTTCCTACTCACGAAGTTGTGGACGAGCTAGATATTCCACTCAGGAGGTCCTCTAGACCTCGTACTCCTTCCTCCCGTTATTCACCCAATAAGTATGTATTACTCACTGATGGGGGAGAACCTGAATGTTATGCGGAGGCCATAAATGATGAGCACAAGGATCAATGGATTAAAGCCATGCAAGATGAGATTAAATCTCTGCATGAGAACCATACTTATGAGTCTGTGAAATTACCTAAGGGCATGAGAGCTTTAAAGAACAAGTGGGTGTTCAAAGTTAAAGCTGAAGAACATAGTTTGAAGCCGAGATACAAAGCTAGATTGGTTGTCAAGGGATTTGGTCAAAGGAAAGATATTGAGTTTGATGAAATATTTTCTCCTGTCGTGAAAATGTCCTCCATTCGGACAGTTCTTGGTTTGACTGCCAGTCTTGATTTGGAGATTAAGCAGATGGATGTGAAGACTGCTTTTCTTCACGGTGACTTAGAAGAGGAGATTTATATGGAACAACCTGAGGGCTTCAAGGCAAAGGGTAAGGAAAATCTTGTATGCAAACTTAAGAAGAGCCTATATGGATTGAAGCAAGCTCCCAGACAATGGTACAAGAAGTTTGAGTCTAATATGGGGGAGCAAGGCTACAAGAAGACTTCTTCAAATCACTGTTTGTTTGTACAAAGATTTTCTGATGATGATTTTATCATCCTCTTGCTATATGTGGATGATATGTTGACCAAGGTGGTACCAAGTGACAAGTTCGAAGTATGCAAAGAACTTGTCAGCATGCACTCAGACTAGAAGACAGTGCTACCTCCTCTAGATGAATGAGACCGGCGG